CACCTACAACGGGTAAAGTAAGTATAAATTTAAGAAATCGTATTATTTATATGTTCGTCGTCACATAACCTAGAATAACAAATATTTAAAATATAAATTTTTGTATAAATGTAATGATCAATTACATAATAACATTCTTTTAATGTACTCCGTTTTATATAGGATAATGGGATAACTCTTAACAAGTGTTAATTTAATGCACCCCATTTTAATTAAAAAAATTTAATAATTACATTGTTAATGTTTTTTTAATGTATGTTGTTTTATGTACATTATAGGTGGTAATGAAAACTACAGTGGGTGATATTGATTTAGAATTATGGACAAAGGAGGCTCCAAAGGCTTGCAGAAATTTTATACAATTATCTATGGAAGGCTATTATGACAATACCATATTTCACAGAATTATTAAGGGTTTTATAGCTCAAGGTGGTGACCCAACTGGTACAGGAGAAGGTGGTGAAAGTATATACGGACAGCCATTTAAAGTATGTTTAACTTCTAAATGAATCTCTTACAATCAGAATACATCTAATGTATTTATACATTTCAGGATGAATTTCATACGAGATTACGATTCTGTAGGCGAGGTTTGTTGGCTATGGCAAATGCAGGAAAAGATGACAATGGATCTCAATTTTTCTTTACTCTTGCCTCTGCACCAGAATTACAAAATAAGCATACTATATTTGGTAAAGTTACTGGAGAAACTGTGTACAACATGCTTAAACTTGAAGAAGCATTAGTAGATGAAGTAAGAAAGTTTACCAATTAATGAACTCAATTACTGAAAAATAACTTGTACAAGAAATGTTCTATAGTACTTTTTTCTGTTCCTAGAACGACAGGCCACTTTATCCTCCAAAAGTATTAAAAACTGAAATACTGAATAATCCTTTTTCTGATATTGTACCTAGGGTAACAACGAAAAAAAGCGAAGATGTGAAGGATAGTATAAAAAATAAAAAAGCAGGAGTGAAGTAAGAAATTAATATTTCTAATTCTCTTGTTCCTATTCAAGATATTCTTCATTATGAACTGTTTCCTTTCAGAAATTTTAATCTTCTATCTTTTGGCGAAGAGGCAGAAGAAGATGAGGAAGAATCTGTGATATTAAATAAACAATTCACTGGCAAAGGGAAATCGGCGCATGATCATTTATCGGATCCCAAATTGAGTGCTCAACCAGCTGTTGAAGTAGCAGGACCTCCGAGCAAAAAGAAGAAAGAAGATCGTAGTAGCGATTGGGAAAGCGACAGTGAAGTAAAATCTGCTGAAGAATTGGAAGCTATCAGAAAAGAGAAAGAGTGGGTTCTCCGAAATTCTTTGAAATCGTTTCCTACTTATTTACGTCCAAAATGCTTTCTTGTGTACGTGTATACTTTCCTGTATGTTTGTATTTTTTAATACCAATGTTCTTCCAGAGCAATGAAAGAAAGAATAAAAAACAAATTGAAGGAAACGAAGAAAGAACCGAAGAAATCAAACACTTATAAGGTGGATGACACTGAAATTGATCAAGATGAGAAAGAAGAAGAGTACTATCTTGGAAAAGATAGAGAAGAGGAACGCAAGAAGAAAGCGTATGTATATCAAACAACCTTCAAAGAAAGGAGATCAAAATATTCCTAACAAATTTTTCTACAGGGAAGAAATCAGAAAGGAAATTCGCGACTTGAAGCGCGACGTTCAAAATGAGAAGAAGGCAAAGGAGGAGGACAAGAAATTGAAAGAACAGCAGGAAGAGAAGAAGGGTCAGAAGACGCAGATAATGAAGGAGTATATCGAGACTCAGGAGAAGTACAAAGAAGCAAAATCGAAGTTGCCCAAAAAAGGTAAAAGCCGAGAAGATTTCACGATGGATCTGTTGAAGAAGTTCAAGTCAAAACTTCAGAACGCAAAGGAGACCAAGAGAGAGAGGTCACCGACGCCACCAAGAAAAGACAGTAGTAAAGATGAAGAAGACTATGATCCTACCGATGAATCCTGGATGGTGCACTCGTTACAATGCGAAGAGAAAGCTCCAGTCCTCGCGAAGGATGCAAGCACGAAAGACGACGATTGGTTCGAGATTTACGACCCTCGGAATCCATTGAACAAAAGACGTAGGGGTGAAAAATCGCATAAACCAAAAGAGGAGAGAAGTAGGCGGGCCGAGTCGCATCGCAAATAAAACATGTATTATAAATAATTCTGGTATCAGACGCGAGGCCTTTGTGTTACTTCTTAATTGTACAGACCAGTGTATAGATTGCGTATTTCATAAAATACATATTGTCCTTTTAAACACATAGCAGAGACACTTCTCTGTGCGATATGCTGCACGCTTCGGGAATCTTGCAGCGATTCTTACGTGCGGAACTTATATTTTTTTGCATACCTGTGACGTCAAAGTGATAGCACAATGCATTTCGGCGACATCAACGAGGAAACATTTGGCTTTGTGCCGTAAAGTTCTGTTTACTATAGCTCTGGGTGAGATAACTTTAATACACCGATGGGTTAGCATTAGGGCCAAGATTTCGTACAAATAGACTCCTATAGTCGGGAGCTTATCCCCGACACAGTAAAAGTTGATAAGGCACTGATAGAAAGCATGACATATTCGTTCACGGAATCAGTCGATCTGTTGGCAGCGAACGATACACATCGTGCATTTACGTAACTGCGTGAGATCGAGTTCATGAAATCAATCAATATATTTAAATCATATATTCGCTGAGTCCGCAGTAAAGAACACGGACTTTGAAAAATCGTTTAAAATTTAGAGAAAGTATTAATCAATTTCTTGACTCGTTATCGAGAGAATTCGATCGGAGTTTTATTTTTGAAAAGTATTGTTAACAAGTGTTGCAAGGCATTAGATTTGAAACAGTATATTTTTATACGTACCGTAGGAACGGTCGTGACTGTGCGTGGTGCTCTATTAAGATTATGCCTGTTTGGGAAAAGTGATCCCGAAAGTGATGCTACGAATCTACAAAGAGAATGCCATCGACGCCATTAAAAATAGATATACTCGGTATGCTTTGTTTCGTTCATATTATTACTTTACTAATCGCGGAGAACGCGTGTGCACGCGTGGTTGTTATCTACGTCGTTGAAATACAGTCTTCTGTGCGAACTGCTCGAATTGGCATGCTTTTATTTTGAATCAGATTACCTGAATCTTTATTTATTAGTAAGTCCCCCACTTTGAAATATATCCGAGACGGTGGCGATCATATAAACAAGGAAGCGTTTATTTTTGAATTCAAATTGTCGGTGGTGTAATCGACCACGCTTCCATTCACTTATACATATATCAGCGTTCATTTTAAACTTTATACGTATATTATATCGACGCTAAAAGTAGTATCTATTTTTTTTAAGCGAGTATACGTATTTAATCAACATTTTACTTACCGGTAGGCTTTCAACAATCAAAGATATGTAATTGCGAACTTATTGATAAATAAAAATTGGTTTTAGTAATACAGTCTAATAGCAAAGGATTAAAATAAATATTCAGTTAACAACGAAAAAGTTATTATATATTGGATTATAGTTCTTTTTCGTTACATATCAGTAAATGTTAAATATTCTTTAAAAATCAAAGATCAATTTGGCTTTATTTAAGATACAGATTGATTTTAGTAACATCCTATCGGTAATTAAAATGTTATATAATAATATTCAACAAGCAACGAAAAATGATATATTGAAAAATATTAAGGACATTAGCTTATTTCCAGAAGAATAGATTTAAGTCCCACTCTAATCCTTACATTTTTATGACACGTGGCTGACTGGAGTGGGGTGGACAGCTAGTATGGCTATCAGTAACCCTGAAGCCTCTTCTTTCGAAAAGACTATATCGTCCACGATTGTGCATCCTCGACGCAAAGAATGTTCTGAGGCTTTGCCAAATTGCGTTATTTTTAACTAACGGATTTTATGCATCTATAGTAAAAAAATTAGCGAAATATAAAGTAATGGATATATTATTTTAATATGGTGAGGAAATCAATTTCCATGTTGCGTTTGTTTCTTGCAAACAATGCACACACACTGTTGCATAGCATATATCAAAACTCGTATATCCGGTCACTCTGCCACGTGGTGAAATGCTGTGTGGGTATAGGATACGAACACACAGTTGCCATACAATAGCGAGTGGTCTATACACAGCCCAATCAAAAACGTATTAGTATTGATAGGTGAATTGACTAATTATGCGATGACGGTATTTAGTTAAAAGCCGTGGCGGGGAAACGTGTGGTTCTTTGAAATAGAATGTAACGCATTCACTCGTTAATCGACTGCATATTCTTCTTCGATGTAGCCTCATTTAATCGTAATAGCGCCGGCAATACGCAATCTTTCTCCACAGAGGCAGGATGAACTTCATTTTTAAATCCCTGTATCCATGTCTACCTATATAAAAGGATCTTCTCGGTCCATACATGGTGTCCAGAAATGTTTTGAATACTCGTGGTCGTTGCTCCGAGGAAAATGATCGTAAATATTGAAGGCGATGCTTGCAAACACTGGTACCGTTTGTTTCGCGTGTTTTGCATGTATCAGCGTGCAAAGTCCGTGCCACGAGTTTCCGAGCACCCCGTATATGCGTCGCGGCTAATGAGAGATGATTACGACGCTGCCAGCGCTTTTAATTATGACGTCGTGTCGCGTCGCGTTGCGTCGCGTCGCCGGTTTCGCTGGTCGCGGAAGTCGATGGAAATGTTGCACTAGATTTACAACTTGTGGATTACATCCTCTATTAAAATGTTGTTGAAATTATGATTCTGAAGAAGTTAAAACGTTTCAAGCAACGTTGTTCTCTCGTAATTGTTTCGGTTGATGTCCAAAGAAAAAGAAGAGAGATTTCGATTCGAGCACATTCGATGACGATACCAATAAAACATAATCCAAGATTACCTCGAACGTCATTCGAAGGCCACCGACACTTTTTTTATGTACTACGTTCGACCAGAGTTTGTGACGGGACGATTTCATGAGACCGAATTCTACGGGACCATGACACTGTGACCTCGACGCGGTAACTGTGGGTGGCCAGTTTACTTGTCCGGATTTTTAAATAAATGTCTGCTATATCACAGATCGAGGGCACCAAATTTACAAGAAGACTGAAACAGTTATAAACCGTAGCTCAGTTTCTGTTGCACTAAATAGACTGCTTTGATTTCTTCTGATTTTTGCGGTTGTTGGCCAAGATGTTAATTAGTCGAATATATTGTGAAGAACTTGAAGGTCTGTAAACTATATTCATTTTCTGTTTAAAAAATTAATTTAGCGTATTGAAACTTTCACGAGTTGCTTCAATAAACTATTTCATTTCTTATCTTTATTTGATGATGAACAAGTGGACTGAATATCGGAGCCATTCTCGAGACTCGTGTTTCCCTAGATATTTTCGTTCACGTCACATGATTCTGTAGCATCGACGCCAGTTCGCCGCATAGTAATTCCATTCTGTGAAGGTTATCGCTAGAATTTGTACAAAGGTGACCGATGAAGCCGATACTCTCTTTGTTCATCGAACCTTTTCGTTTGCGAAGGCGACGCAAGTTCGATGACTCTGTGCTCGATCGCATGATCTAAGTCCAGCCAATGACGCGATACGAATTATTTAGTATCACGGGAGGTATTACTTTCATCGAGAACATTGCTATCCTCGCACAGTAACTCATTCTTTTATAAACATTTTACAAGTACTGAACAGAAAATTTCTGCTTTCATTTTATCCATAACGTATTTGAATTATTTTTATTCGCGAACCTAATATCGTGCACACTGAGCTTCGATAAAAGTATCTCTCGAGCCAAATATCATTAATTATTATCATTTTTCGTTACAACGTTGCAACCAAAAACATCACATACTCTGGCATGATATTTTCAGAACGTGTTTATTTAAATACGGAAAGAACATTGTACAATGATCGACGATTTATCGAATCACGACAAATTTTCATGAAACATACACTTTTCAGGCGCGTGTGTCCCAACGACAAATGACTAGACCTTTGAAAATTGATCGCAATGAATATACATAGATGGAAATGTACCTGATCGGCGCGCAATCGAAAGAGCATATTGTCTGTTCGTAATTATACCGCATTGCGGAGTGAACGTAATCTCTGTAAATTATTGTACTGCCTGTAATGTGAGAAAATAAAGGAATGAACAATTCTCTGACCGATTGTTTATTAACCTTTAGATTCCAGTTAACTCGACCGATGTGAAACAAGAGTTCCGTAGATCTTGAAAAGTTCCCTGTAACTTTGAAGTTTCAGGTCAGATATCGGTTGTTCCCAAATTAATCGAATGGAAATATTGAAATTGTAAGAGTTGTGCTTGTAAAACGATAAATTCCACTTGTCTGCAAATAAAAGTTATTGTTTGGAATCATTTCGAATTATTTATGCATTTATCTTTGGTGCAGAGTGGCTCGAAAGCCGGTTGCTGATCCTAATTTTAGGCAGAATCTGATCGCGATTGGTAGCACGTACAAGTTTGAAATCTGTTCGGTTATGCTAGCGATTTTGAGTCTAAAAAAGGTCTGTTTAAAGCCTGCAATAGGATTCGTAGGTGTATACTTTCACGGTTTCGATAAAACCTGTTGGATCATCAACAGCCTTTTGGATCGCTCGGCAAGTGTCCCACAATGTTCACGACAGAGTCTCATGAGAAATGTTTGCAATCCGTAGAGGAGGGTGTTCGTCCAAGAGATTGGCAGCCTCGTAGATCTGAGTACAAGGTACCGCTGAGGCTATTGCGATTATGTTTGCTCGGAATGATTCTCCCGGCCGTGTTGGTAGCGGGGCCGATGTACTTGCGATACCGTGTTTATTCCGAGCAATTGTACCCTTTAACCGTCTCCGATCAGAGGCTTATCGACGCGAAAGTGTCAACGACATGGTGTCAGGTAAGTGGATCACTCACAATCAGTTCACCATTGATCGGCAGCCTCTTCCTCACCCGGACCCGATCTGTCGAGCCATAGTTTCCCATCCGTGGACCTCGAAGACACCAAAAAGATGTTAACTGATTTTCATCTTCAACTTAATCTTCCGAGAATAAAAAATGTTTTACATGATCGTGTGCTCGATAACTTTAACGATTGACGAACGATCCAAGATTAAACGATTTTACGCGCAACTCGATAACTTTCCAATGGTTCTAAAATTATTCGCATAAAGGAGACGTCCATAATGTTTCAAAAAAAAGCGGGGGAACTATGGCTTAAGCAATCATCCTCGTAACTAAACATCCTTATTGAACACCGCGAACCTCTGCAGAGCCAGGTGATTAAAGTTAACGCGACGTTCAACGCTTATCTGATGAGCGAGGAGCCTCAGGTGGAAAGCAAGGTGCAACCTGTATCGATGACCAGACACTTGATTTTAGAGGACGACATGAAGGAGTATTGGGGGTTTTATCTTCTCCAAGGTAGCAGCGTCACCGTCTCCACCTGCGTGAGGTACGAATCACAGTTTGATCGATGCCCAAGCAGCTATTTAGGGTATCGAAGATCCCATCAATCTCGGACCGTTCTAATTCGCAGAAATATTTTACGAATGTTATGAATCCAATGACAGATGGCCCGGTGCTTCGTTGACGATAATTCGCGGGCACAAGCATCTTCATGAATGCGCTTTCATCGGCGATGACAGCAGCGAGGAGTTGGAGGAGCTGCTCGAGGTCGCCAAAGAGACCGGGCTCGTTTCGGTTAATGGAACGGACGAGGTATAGCTTCAACGTGAAAGTAACGCGACACAAAATCATTTAGTCGCGCGAAGATGTAAGTTCGAAAACAGCCTGATACACGAATGGAACTTTGTGCGTAGGACAAGAGTCCCAGCAACGAGCCGAACAAGATGAAGCGAGTGGAGCAAGGAATACAGTTCCACCACAAGGACCAAAACCTTCTTCTGAACAGCTCGACCCACTTGACCAATTCAATGGCGCACAATTACAACAGCCACGAGTTGGACGCGAAAGCCATGAGAGCAATCCTAACTGAGCTCTTCGCAAAAAAACTGGGCACGAAGAAGAAGCAGAAGGAGAACCCTCATCACCATTACGAGGGTACTTTCGTAGAGGTAGCCAACATTGACAAGCCACCTGTTCAACATCCTGCTGGACATCCCCCTGTACATCATCCTGAGCAACATCCTGGACAACATCCTGAACATCATCCTGGACATCCCCTAAGTGTTCAAGAAATTGTCGAAAGCGTAGAACAAAAGGCAGCAGAGCTTGCGGACAAACTTTCTGTTAAACAAGGCGAAGTTGGAGCTAAAGCGACGATCGCTTCGGTAAATGTTACCGAAAAATCCGCGTACGAGAACAGAGAACACGATGAGAATCGTAACGGCGGCCAGGAAATACCTAAAAATGAGGAACAAGGGGAGCCTACGTCTGCAGAAGTGGTCAAAGAAGTATTGGATCGAATCAATTCGCTGGGTTATCGAGGCCAGAAGATTTTCAAGATGCTGATGACTGAGATGGAGAAGAGTGGCGCTGAGACTGAGACGCTGAAGAGAGTGGTGGACGAAACCATGAAGGATCAGAAGCTCTCGGAAGCTGAGAAACGCAGGAGACGAAGGGATTTGGTCTTGTCTTCGCCGCTTCACAAGCAGCTGACGCAAGAGGACGAGGACGAAGACGCTGCCGTCGAAGAGGTACGGTAAAAAGCATTCTTATCTCGGTAATCTTAATCTTATCTAATTGTGGGAACTTCCGATCGACTCTTACGCTCGTTCCCGTTTGACCATCGAGAGAAAATTAATGCCAGACGATTTCTTGCGTCCGTGGTTTTTTCGGTACGGTCGGTCGCAAAAGTCTCCATGACGAACTCGACAAAATTTAATCCCGTGGGTGACTGTACGCCGTTTTATTCCACCTATTTCTTCACTGTTCATTAAATAAAAAGCCTACGTTTGCTAAGGCGAACCATGCAATGACGGAAAATGAAGATAGGCGTTGTTAGCACAAATTTTTGATATTCGCTGGCTGCTTGAAAGAATAAAGAAAAAAATGCATGTCTTTTCGAGTTAAATGACTTGTTAGTTAAAGAGGTTATAGATTTTGGAAATTAACGATGTTTCTTTCCGCTTGTTTATCTCGCTTGGATCCGAGTATATCGACAGAACGAACGTTATTTGTTTCGATATGTCCATGGCGATGTCTCGTTTCTGTCATAAATTCATAAAATCTGCGATCCACTCATTACTTTACAGACACTAATGCGGCGGTTGCCGCATGAAAATCGTGCATCCTGCTACACTATAAAATGAAATATGCATTCTCAGATTTGTATAGACGACAACAATAAAGCAAAAAGTGCGCTACAATTTTACATGCACCGTCATCAACCGCATCCGATTAATGCGTTCTTAGGCGACCGTAACGTTCCAATGCAGTCAAGATTGCGTCACATTAATAAAAAATAATCGTGATTCAACGACGATAAGATTCGTCGAATTACAAGTTTCTAATCTCGGCCATAAAAGCACGCCCGATAGATCCTAGGAAGTAATTACGTACGCAGCGCATGTGTCGGCGAGCAATAAAATGCGAGAAGAAGAAGAAATTGCAGTTGCAGATCCGCGCCGCGAGAACGGTTAACCGTTTATGCGACCAGCAGATATCAACGGCTTTTAATCAGCCGGTTGCGACAGCCGACGCAGGTAAAGTCCTTAATTCGCTTGAAATTAAGCTGCCGCGCGGCTCGTGGAAAATTTTGAAATTCGCGACTACAGATTTCCTCTGGAAGACGTCTCCGATAAATTGCTACCTGAGTTGCTATTACGCGATAAAACGTGGGAGCGAGATTGGGAACGGGATAACTAATGAAGAGAGCTTGTTAGATCGCAGCACTTCGGGCGCCGATCCGGTCGCGATTATGGCAGCGGAGTTGTTGTCAAACCGATTTCGAGAGGAACCGGCCGTTCCATTCGCTGTCAACGTCGTGTCGCACGATAACGGGGCCCGTTTAGTGGACCGCAATCAATTCTTTATCGCCGACAGATGGATATCCAAGCATTACTTATATTGTCCTAATTAGAAATTACCAAGTCGTGTAATTTTGGGACACGGCTATCTGGAATTTGCTCGGGCGTTGGCAGTCCGATTTCGAGCCGGGATGGGTCTCGAGGGTCGTTCTTATCGAGACGATTTCGAGACACCGTTAAATATTTGCGCGAGAAACGCTTTCGGAATAATAGATGGATCAGGAATCTCGGGTGATATTGATAGAACGATGCTGTATCGACGCGATATTGAGACGGCGATCGAGAGACGAGATATCGGAGAAGCTCCGGCGAAAACAGATTGTTGAGCGAAGGCTAAAGTCGAGAGAAACAATTTTGTCGGTCGAAATTCAATGTATGCAAACAGTCCCTGAACCATTTCGATCTTTACTTTGGAATCGATCGTTGAATAGTTAAAATTGTACATTTTATTTTTGCGCGAGGTTTGGGTATTTTTCAATTATACAAGATATACAAGACATTTAATGTACGCGATTCATTCTTCTTTCTTTTTTCAAAAATGTTGCCATATTTTATGTTTATTGGAGCTTTGAACACAAAAGCTGCAATGTACATTTATTGCAGTCTGGTTTCTTCAGTGATTACAATGTTCCTGATTGAACTATACAAAACTAAGCTGCAATGTACATTTATTGCAGTTTGGTTTCTTCAGTGATTACAATGTTCCTGATTGAACTATACAAAATTAAGAAGACACAGTTTGCTTTTTAGAGCAATGATTAGACTAATAATTTCGTGCACATTTACTTCTTTTTCTAATATTTTTGTGAAACACTGTCTTCAGATTCTTTGAATGTCTTCACTGTTTCACATTTGATCTTCATATTTTCGTTATACATAATCCGGAATCTAATAATAATCATATTTTACTTCCATTTGATTTCACAAATAATCGTATTTGAGTTGACTACTCAAGTACGACCTCGTATCTTTATACAATTTACTGTTTCTACAGGTCTTTTTATGAAGAACAAAATATACGAATCGTTTCGTTGAATAATTGTTATTGATTCTGGCCAATTAAAACGTTTCCCAATATTTTGTAACTTTGAACACGCCAAGGTGCTTGATTTGTCCAAATTACTCATTACATAGTTCGCAGTTTTGTATTGCTTCTTAGAAATATTTCTTTGTGATCGGAATTATTTTTTCTTACCACCTGACGTTTCTTTACGCACATCAGGATATGTTGCACCCAGATGGCATAGCAGAGGACAGAGGCACAGTGAATGAGACGATGTTGAACGACAGGAGCAACTCCGAATTTTGGAGTTCATTCAGCAGCTCCGAGGAACGCCTGCTGGATTGTAAAGGGTTGATCTTGAACTTACCTTTGACACCTCATAGACACTGCACACCGAAATACGAGAAAAAACACTCGGAAGCCTCGTTTGCAAACACGGTCACTTACAGGTATATAGACCTATTAACAGATTCTTAGATAGGCTTATTATTCTTAATAAGATAGACCTATTCTTAATAGACTTATTAATAGATTCACGATAATATCAGGTTGGAGGTGAACAACCTTGACATAACTGACTTGGCTTATAATGTATTTAAAATAGTCACATGAATAGACTTCTGGACGACACGATGACCTCTCAAGGCTCTATTTTCGACACGTTTACGATGATTAATTAATCAGTCGATTTGTAAATCACCAAAATCTTTTTCTACTACTTAGTAACATTTCGTCATTTTCTTTAATTAATTTAATAAGTTTAGTGAAGTGTAGGCAAAAAAAAATCATCAAAATTTTATTCATAATATCATTTCTATCTTTGAAGTCGACAATGAGCCCTCATTTTTAATTCGATTTGTTCATCAATGTCGAATCGACACAATGGCAAGGAATCAACATCACGGAGAGATGAACGCTTGTAAAATCTTTCTGTGACAATGAAAGATTGTTGTAAGATAAAACAAGATTATTCCTATCGTTCGTGAATAATAAATTGGCATGTAGAACATTTTCAAATGCAGTAACAAAAAAAATGTGTCACTTCGACACAAAGAACAGATGAAAGTACTAAATTGCTGCTGAAAAAAATGATCGATCTCTCAACTTCTGTGAACTCGTGTGTAAACAAATATTACAACACTCTATCTGAGTTCATTTTGAAGGATGAGAACTCTCTGTCTACTTTTATATCCTTAAATTTAGTTTCCAAATAATTTCCTTCGAAGCCTCCCTGTTTCTACAAAACGAAGTACTACAACGCTGAAATTGCATTTTCGAGATTATACAGATTTGAAGGACTCTACAGTGTTAAACAATGTTTCCTCTCTACATTTATTTCAATACGACCTTATAAAGGAAAGTCTCCACATTTTCGAATGATCTGAGATATTTTGCCGCGATCTTATTGTATTTTGGATTTGAGTAAAAGTACGAACGTTTACCCTTTGTAATACTAATTCCCAAAAAGATGGTTAAATCCCGAAGACCCGCTGCAAAATATTAGGGTGTCCCATAAGTTCTTTTCTTTTTTCTGATGCGAAATGATTACACGATATTTGTTGTTTAAAGTTGATTTATCGAGTTATATATGAACCGTTCTGCTCTATTACCTTCTTCCATCTTTCGGGAAGCCTCATTATGCCGTCTTTCCAAGATTGTTCAGGCTTATTTGCAAAATATTGATCAAGGTGCGTTTTTATTTCGCTTACGAATTTAAACCGTTTCTCACGGAGAGAATTTTTTAACGAGAACAACAAGTAATAATCGGATGGAGCAATGTCTGGGGAGTACGGAGGATAAGGTAAAACGTCCCAATCAAACTGCAATAATTTTTGTCTTACGACCAACGCAACATGCGGTTTTGCGTTGTCGTGATGAAAATTTGACGGTGTGGAACTTCGAATCGATTCACATATTTCATCTTGATTAAATGCTTATGTACCGTTGTCCTGGGTATGTTAGTGGCATCCGCTATCTCGCGCACACTATATCGCGGATTTTCAGCGAGCATATCTTTGATAAGGTCAGCATCCGTCGTTGTTGGACGGCCGCTGCGGTCTTCATCTTTCAAATCATAATTGCCAGCTCTAAATCTCTTAAACCAATCGCGGACTGTCCTAATAGTCGTAGAACTATCACCGTAAACGGTACAAATCTCGTTTGCAGTGTTCTTTGCCCTATCACTTTTTTTTTAAAGCAGTGAAGCATAACATGCCGCAAATGTGCTTCTTTTGGCTATCCATATTGAACGGCGTAGAAAAAATGTTATAAGGAACTTTGTCACCCACGCGAAACGTACTCTAAAAGAGCTCCGGGTTGACTGAAATCGATACCCTAAACAGCCAAGAGGTAAGTCTGCGCGTTTATATAAACACAGCCAGTTAGATTCATTAATAGCGCGGCGCGAAAAGAACTTATGGGACACCCTAATATATTGCGTTGATTCTACGCAACATTTCACGAACGATCATTAATCAGTGAACGTGTCAACGTATTAATTCGAATTTTTTCCAGAGTCCCTATGAACGGATATTACTTTTTCGTCTTCAACTCCGAGAACGAGATCCAGCCGAACTATTTGCGGGTGAACTTCGACCTTCTGAAAACCGTGTACAACATCTCGAACGCTGTCCACGAGTGCAAGAACAGCACAACAGAGTGTTCCCTGCCGTTCAAGCTGTTCAGCAACGAGAGAACTGTTCTGGAGCTACCGTTGAGTGGCAACGACTCTCAATGGAACCAAGAGTACGTGGTAGTTTCGACGTGCGAGCCAAGAACTGCGATCTACCTGCTCTGTATCCTAATGGTTCCCTTACTCATCCTTGTGTTTGCCTTCCATTGACATCATGCTTGTCAATACGGTCAGCGGGGCAGCGTACTGATCCCGCTGACAATGCTCACTTGTAAATATTAGGCTTAGATCGGACCGAGTGACGAATCATTGCTACAGTGACGACAGTGTAACAGTATTTTTCCTTTGCGCTTCGAATCGGCAGCGACACGTTGTTGCTGTTAGTTAATTAGTTGATAATCGTACATAGATAGTCGGAGAGGGCGGTGTGCTTTGGAAATCGATGTCAGCCATAGTTCTTAAAATGTTCGGGGACTTTAGTCCTGTTGCCATCCGTTGCAACAGTACTGATTTAACTAGAGGTTTACATAATCATGAGGACTTTCGACGGCGGGCTGGAAATCCGTTTTTTCGTCCGCGGAAACTGAATTTCACAATTTCAATCACAATTTTGAAAACATTTTTCTATACATCGATTGACAACTCTTCCATGCTTCAAAATTCATAATACCAGATTCAAAATTTCAAAGTGAAATCAATTATTTTAACGGTTAAACCAACCGAGTGGGGAGATCTCCCCGTTTTAAATTCAGTCGATTGATGACCGAATGGATGATTAATGAAAAATAAAAAAAAAATGACTGCTCGTTAAAAATGATTCCATATAAGTTTGTTTCGTAATTTTTGTTTAATTGAATGAAATATTTTAATTTTATGAAAATTCTTGAGCTTCTGCCGCGGTCGTGGAAGTGTTAACAACTCGTTATGGTTTGAATGAACGTTTTATACTGATTGTTAGGCGTATTTTCACCGGTTACATGGCTCCCAAGAATTATTTGATCCGTGTAGAAGCGTTGCAATGTTTATGACAATCGAAACTTTGCGGAGGGTTTTGAACAAATGTTTCAAAGTGTCCGACAGAGTTCAATGTAAAAACAGCTGGTGTCGAGACGAATTGAACGACGTACTAAAAACGCTAAAATCGTTTTTACAACAAAAACGGGATTCCAGTCTGCTGTGCGACGATGCCAGTTAAATTTTAGGGTCTTCTGCTTGCCATTGTGTAATGTTACTTTGTCTTTCTGTCTTTAGCATTTAGTACCTCTAAAAGACACATCAAATTATTGATAATACGTTATTATATAATACGTTTATATAGTACGTATATATAGTGCGTTTTCATTGGTTATTGATTAAGAGAAAATTATCTTGCGAGAAAATCAGTGTCCAATGCATTGAGACAATGCTGTAAAGCAAAAAGTTGATATATTAATCGTAACTAGACTAAGGATATNGCATCCACTATCTCGCGCACACTATATCGCGGATTTTCAGCGAGCATATCTTTGATAAGGTCAGCATCCGTCGTTGTTGGACGGCCGCTGCGGTCTTCATCTTTCAAATCATAATTGCCAGCTCTAAATCTCTTAAACCAATCGCGGACTGTCCTAATAGTCGTAGAACTATCACCGTAAACGGTACAAATCTCGTTTGCAGTGTTCTTTGCCCTATCACTTTTTTTTTAAAGCAGTGAAGCATAACATGCCGCAAATGTGCTTCTTTTGGCTATCCATATTGAACGGCGTAGAAAAAATGTTATAAGGAACTTTGTCACCCACGCGAAACGTACTCTAAAAGAGCTCCGGGTTGACTGAAATCGATACCCTAAACAGCCAAGAGGTAAGTCTGCGCGTTTATATAAACACAGCCAGTTAGATTCATTAATAGCGCGGCGCGAAAAGAACTTATGGGACACCCTAATATATTGCGTTGATTCTACGCAACATTTCACGAACGATCATTAATCAGTGAACGTGTCAACGTATTAATTCGAATTTTTTCCAGAGTCCCTATGAACGGATATTACTTTTTCGTCTTCAACTCCGAGAACGAGATCCAGCCGAACTATTTGCGGGTGAACTTCGACCTTCTGAAAACCGTGTACAACATCTCGAACGCTGTCCACGAGTGCAAGAACAGCACAACAGAGTGTTCCCTGCCGTTCAAGCTGTTCAGCAACGAGAGAACTGTTCTGGAGCTACCGTTGAGTGGCAACGACTCTCAATGGAACCAAGAGTACGTGGTAGTTTCGACGTGCGAGCCAAGAACTGCGATCTACCTGCTCTGTATCCTAATGGTTCCCTTACTCATCCTTGTGTTTGCCTTCCATTGACATCATGCTTGTCAATACGGTCAGCGGGGCAGCGTACTGATCCCGCTGACAATGCTCACTTGTAAATATTAGGCTTAGATCGGACCGAGTGACGAATCATTGCTACAGTGACGACAGTGTAACAGTATTTTTCCTTTGCGCTTCGAATCGGCAGCGACACGTTGTTGCTGTTAGTTAATTAGTTGATAATCGTACATAGATAGTCGGAGAGGGCGGTGTGCTTTGGAAATCGATGTCAGCCATAGTTCTTAAAATGTTCGGGGACTTTAGTCCTGTTGCCATCCGTTGCAACAGTACTGATTTAACTAGAGGTTTACATAATCATGAGGACTTTCGACGGCGGGCTGGAAATCCGTTTTTTCGTCCGCGGAAACTGAATTTCACAATTTCAATCACAATTTTGAAAACATTTTTCTATACATCGATTGACAACTCTTCCATGCTTCAAAATTCATAATACCAGATTCAAAATTTCAAAGTGAAATCAATTATTTTAACGGTTAAACCAACCGAGTGGGGAGATCTCCCCGTTTTAAATTCAGTCGATTGATGACCGAATGGATGATTAATGAAAAATAAAAAAAAAATGACTGCTCGTTAAAAATGATTCCATATAAGTTTGTTTCGTAATTTTTGTTTAATTGAATGAAATATTTTAATTTTATGAAAATTCTTGAGCTTCTGCCGCGGTCGTGGAAGTGTTAACAACTCGTTATGGTTTGAATGAACGTTTTATACTGATTGTTAGGCGTATTTTCACCGGTTACATGGCTCCCAAGAATTATTTGATCCGTGTAGAAGCGTTGCAATGTTTATGACAATCGAAACTTTGCGGAGGGTTTTGAACAAATGTTTCAAAGTGTCCGACAGAGTTCAATGTAAAAACAGCTGGTGTCGAGACGAATTGAACGACGTACTAAAAACGCTAAAATCGTTTTTACAACAAAAACGGGATTCCAGTCTGCTGTGCGACGATGCCAGTTAAATTTTAGGGTCTTCTGCTTGCCATTGTGTAATGTTACTTTGTCTTTCTGTCTTTAGCATTTAGTACCTCTAAAAGACACATCAAATTATTGATAATACGTTATTATATAATACGTTTATATAGTACGTATATATAGTGCGTTTTCATTGGTTATTGATTAAGAGAAAATTATCTTGCGAGAAAATCAGTGTCCAATGCATTGAGACAATGCTGTAAAGCAAAAAGTTGATATATTAATCGTAACTAGACTAAGGATATTTATTGAAGTATGGGAGTCGAAGAAAAAAATTACTTTTTCTATTCGAATTTCTATTATACTTTCAAGAATATAAAATTATTACTAAATTCTGTTCAATCTATTACTACGAACAGATTCGGGTGGTCAAAACGCACGTATAGAATCCGTAGTCTAGCAGACGTTGACTATTTTATCAAGCTTGGAGATATTAATAATGAATTTAGAAAAGATTTTGAAGGGAAGCTGTGACATTAAGTGCTTATTCAAAAATGCTCGACGCTTTTTAACGTACCTGTAAATATATTATTAAGCTTCTAGATTTTTATTGTTAGAATAGCAATTAGTGCCAAGTGAGATTCGCTCCACGCGATATAGCAGATATCGATATAATTGTATAAAATATCCTTGCGAACAAAGATGAATTAATAACAGAGTCACGCGTATTCGGATTCCAACCTGTTTATTACAAGCGTCGATGTACGTGATACAGCGCCACGCGATTTCGTCTACATTATTTATTACGGGTCGCGTCTTGTTAATTTATTTGTAATATCACATTATCGTCGCGTAGGCTCGCGCGGTCGAGATTGTTACCATGGATTGTACCTTATCGATCACTGTGGGATTTACATACGTGTACGGAGACTGTAAAGCTGATTTATATTTTCAATAAAAAAAAAATGTCATTAATTGTGGCGACCGGTTATCTCGCAATTATTATTGTTATTCCAGTGAAAAGCGGCGCTCGAATAGGATAGGATAATCGGATATTAGAATTGTATTCTGTGATACTCGGAAGAAGAATTAGAAGAATCGTTGTGTATTTTCAAAGAATTGTGAAAGTGAATGAAATATTTTGTTCGAATATTTCTTCCGGTGTACATGCATAAATAATTCCATTTGTCAGGATAGAATACCACCCTTTATTCAAATACAGAGCTTTCAAAATATGCTCCTACAATTTCATAAGCAGTTTCAATTGAAATATTTCAGCGAATATTTCAGTAAAATATTTACACGCGCACTGTAAATCAGTAAAGAAAGAAGGACACCTACAAAAAAAACTACATTACTGCACTCTCAAACCTTCATTTTGGAATTTTCCACTCGGTAATTATCTTCGAACATGCAATTTGAAACCACTTCTTAACAGCGGTAATAAAGCTGACGAAAAACAATGAATCCAATTTCCCCATTCAAAAAAGATTGCTCAAAAATTATGTCGGCTAAGGGAATACGATTTCAAGGAGACGAAAAGGGAAAGGTCTGCGGGAGTCAGTATCCGGCGGAAAAATTGGCGTGACCAAAACAATGCTAATTAAGGACCGGGTCTAATCCCGCGCGTCTTCTCGGACATCTTAAAAATTAATTTCCGTCCTATCTGTTCCTTTAATCCGGAAGATTAATGCTTCATGCCGATGCAAGAGCCTCCCGACAACTTGACCCTGCGATTCCATGGATCCCGGGAACGGTGGAGGAGGATGGGTCCCGGGGGTTGCGAGGGCGGAGCAACCCTTATCAGCGGCGAACACTCGCTCCTCGCGCAGCCTCCGTGGCGTCAATGAGTTTTTGGAGTGAGCTCGCAGCCACCGCGGCTCGTTCTTGTACGCGAATGTTCTTGCTCGATACTCATCTTGGAATACTGCCAAAGAACAACTTATCTGTCTCCTTAACTGACAATAGGCTCTCAGTTTTTAGTTTAAATAGCTTTCCTCTTGTCTTTGCTGGATTTACTATTGGGTTGGCAACTAAGTAATTGCCGATTTCAGTTACAGATGTCTCTCACTCCCATTTTTATGATATCCGTAAATGTTATATTATAAAATTATTATTATTATTATTATGTTATTTTTTATTATCCGTGAATGTTAGCAACTGGACAAATTGAATGCAGCGGTCAAGGAAAACCGACCAGAATTGGT